TTGTAGACATGTGTTGAGGAGGTAAATTCTATTTGTAGTAAGTGATCTCAAAGATCCCTACAGGCCCCAAGTTCTGTAGGATTTTAAAATAGTAATTCCCATTTTGAATTGTCCCTAGAAGCTGACTGGCAGGTAGTATAATTTCTGTGGTACTGGAGTTTATAGGAGAAACAAGTTGCACCTATTAATACACAGAGTGCTACATTTTGCTCTAGTTGCAGCTTCAGTTACAAAGGCAGTCCCATTTAGACTGCACTGCAATAATCCATATGTGAGATTGCTATCAGTACCTTCTATTTCAGGATGAGGTGGAACTGGTGTACTAGCTGAAGATGGTATAATGCTTTGAGTTTAATTTTAAAAAGGAACTTCAGAGTTCTCTAAGATGTTGGTGGAAGTCTTTTTTGGTTCTTTAAAGCATCTGTATCTTCCTACGTTTATTTGACAACTGTAAAAACACAACCCTATTAACCGTCAGGTTTCTATTAAGACATTTCTTGTGTCTCTTGTGTTTTCTCTTTTTTTAGTTTGCTTTTAAAGTATTTTTGTGGTTGTTATATTGATGGCAAAATGATATTTTTATTGTACCCTTATAGTAAAAACAATTACTTAGAGAAGCTGTAACTGTTCCAGCCCAGCACATGATGCAAAACCTCAGCCACCCCAGCACTGTGGCATCAAAGCCCAGCTGCAGCTACCTTGCCACCCTGAATTTTGTGACCTCTGCACCCCCAATTGACCTTCCCTGTCTTCTTGCTCTTGTTGCTGCTGAGGCGCATCAGGTCTGGCCCTTCACAAGGACTGCACATGACCTCAGGAAGAAAGCCTTGCACAGTCAGCACTTATCTCATGAAGGGGGCCAAAAGGGCAGAGATGGGGAGATAGGAGAGTGAACATTTTTGAGGCAGACATTAACACAGCAGGTGAGCTGTCAAGCAATTGAAATTTGCCACAGAGATGTTCCATCAGTTGTAAATTTGAGGACCAGGCATAAATACTTCCAAAATTTTATTCAGAAATGTAAACAATCACAGGAAACATATTATTTGTAAATTCTGTACAGTTATGTTTCACAATTTCCTTTAAAATTGAACAGCAGAATGTGGATTCTGGTCTCCCCCATTGGACAGTAGACCAAGCCCAATAAGATCATTATCTTCCCACACATGATGGGAAGAAGGAGTCCAACTTGGTTCCTTGCATTGGTCAGGGAAGGAGCGGTTGCTTAAAGCTTGCTTCACCTTGTTTTGTCTGATTAAAGACTTAGCTTCTGTTGACAATTTCCCTGGATTCAGAAAGTTGGAAGATACCATATTCTGATTTCTTCCATTATCAGATAAACAGGTGAACTATTAAGTACTGTTTAAAGAAGCAAATTGGGAAGGAAAGATCAGCCCATTCCTATTTTTTCAAATGCCAGTTTATGTTTCCCTGTCTTTTCTTCCACTCTTTATATATATATATTATCTTTCTAATTTGTAAACTTGAGGGCAGGTTTTCTTTCTCTCTTTTTTTTAAAAGAGAGAGAGAAACAAGAATTAGCCAAAATGAGGATAAACTGTAATGAATAAGTGCTGCCAGAGCCATGCTTCAAACTCTTCCCCCTACTGTCAAATTTCTTATTTCTCATAATATTGTTTTTGTAATGAATACATATTTATGTTATTATATTAAAATTTCTTAGTTGAAAAAGTTCTATGATTTTACATTCCATTCTCAGCTATTTTCTACCTTGTTAAAATTTTGTTGTGATAATAAAATAAAATATTACCTAGGTTTCTAGTTTAAGAGTTTAGAATCTTTTTGACATTCCAAAGCTGATTCAATGGCAGATTAAGAGTCCACATAACCATCCTGGAGGGATGACCCAGATCAATACCTTGCTTTGTATCCTTCTGTCAAACTGATGAGAGAATACAATGTCTCTATTGTGTGTTTACTATGGAACAGCGAAGCAACAACTTTCACTTGATATGATATATTTGCTAATAATACATGATCAGACCACTGTAATAAAATACTTGTGAAAAAAAGTGATATTGCTTTTTAAAAAAAATATAAACTTAGAACTTGAGATATCCAATAATGATGATTTTAAATCGGAAAGCAAACTATATATTCATTTTGAAACATATTAAAAAAACTTAGATCAATTACAGCTTGCAATACTGCTTGGTGTCATATGCATACCATATATATATATATATACCCACAGTGTGACAGCAGCTTGCACACTTACAGTTTTATAGATAAAAATCACAATTAAACCATGATTTAAACCACCCAGTGGGGGAAAAATCTTTTAAGATTAGGATTTTTTTTTTTACATTGCTTAATATCAGAATCACACCTTACAAACATTACCCTCCATGGGTTTTTTTTTAATTAAGCTGTGAAAGGTAGAATGTTGGATTTTGTAAAGTTTTTCTACTTTGTTATAAAAGCAGTTCTGTAAACTATCAGAACTGTTTTCAAAAATAATTACATAGATTGGCTATTTGCTATGGGAATTTAAATAAAATTTTAAAACTGAGACTGATAAATGATGTAAATATATTTCACCTAAATTATACTTAATGATCAATACTATTACAAGCTGTACAAATCAACCAGAAATATAGGATTAAAGTTTACGTAGTAGAATAATTTTAAGATTTTTATCTAAGCAAAGTTTTCATAGACTGACATTTATTAATAGATGAATACCATGGTTAGAATATAACCCATAATGAAAATGACAAATGTCTTTGTCACATTGAGATTTTGAAATTCTTATTCACCGTAGACTATTGGAAGGTACCAGTGTGAAAATATCTAATAATGGATTTTTTTTCTTTTGAAACTCCATGGATAAAAGTTATTTAATACAGAGTATGCATAGAGTACTTCAAATAGTGAACTCTCCTTCATTTTCAACAAACCTTTTATACTCTGATTTTATTCAGATTCAAAGTAGTATTTATACACTATATGGATGGTGTCTGCTCTTCAATGCTGTTTTATGAAACCTTAATTGTTCAGAATAAATTACCGTATATTCCGGCGTATAAGACGACTGGGCATATAAGACGACTGGGCATATAAGACGACCCCCAACTTTTCCAGTTAAAATATAGAGTTTGAGCTATACTCACCGTATAAGACTACCCCTGTTCCAACGCACACCAAGTAAAAATTAAAAAACATCAGATTTGATTTCAATATGGTAATTTTAATTCAAATGCTTATGACATGCAGGTAGTTAGCAGGAAAACTGTCACTTATAAACATAAGGCTGTTTGTCATCAAACATGTAAACATAAAACAGTGCAAGTGGATTAAACTTTTNCTAATTCATTCTAAAGCTGAAAGGAAGGATAAGACAATAAACCCATGGGAGCTGCCATGCTGTTTGTTTTCTAAGCCAGGGCTTTTCAACCTTTTCACCGATTGTACCACTTTTAGAATATGGCAACATTCGAGTACCACCAGTCAGCCAGCAAGGTGTCAAAAGCTTGATGACAAAAAAAAATAAATGGAAAAAAGTGATAAAGTACAGGTAGTCCTCAACTTACAACAGTTTGCTTGGTGACTGTTCAAAGTTACAACGGCACTGGAAAAAGTGACTTATGACCATTTTTCACACTTATGACCTCTGCAGCATCCCCAGGGTCTATTTCTCTTTCCCTCTTTCTCTCCCTCTATTTCTCTCTCTCCCTCTCTCTATTTCTCTTTCCCTCTTTCTCTCCCTCTATTTCTCTCTCCCTCTCAAAGATCCTTAAAATCCTTAAAGGTTATGCTTGGGCGGAAGACTTTTTCTTTTACAGATGGGGCGGGTGGGCCTGACATTCGCACGCAGGCAGGACCCCGTCCGCCGAGCCACCGCTTCCCCATCGCCCTCCACGCCAGCCGTCTCCGTCTCCAGACCTCCCAGCTGATGGGCGCAGGTCCGGGGGTTGCCAGCTGACGGGCGCAGGAGTTCGGTGCTGCAGTGGCCTCCCCTTCGCCCTCCACACTGGCTAAAGTGTTGCCTGACGTTCCAGCTGACGGGCGCAGGTCCAGGGGTCGCCAGCTGACGGGCGCGGGAGGTAGGCGCCGCCGCGGTCTCCCAGCCGCTTGCTTCTTCGGCTGGAGCAGTTGCAAGGGCTTGCATGGTCCCCAAGGGCCGCTGACACGCTCCCCGCCGCCGGCAACCATGCAAGCCCTTGCAACTGCTCCAGCCGAAGAAGCAAGCGGCTGGGAGGCCACGGCGGCGCCTACCTCCTGCGCCCGTCAGCTGGCAACCCCCGGACCTGCGCCCATCAGCTGGGAGGTCTGGAGACGGAGCCGGCTGGCGTGGAGGGCGATGGGGAAGCGGTGGCTCAGCGGGCGGGGTCCTGCCTGCACGCGAATGTCAGGCCCACCCGCCCCATCTGTAAAAGAAAAAGTCTTCCGCCCAAGCATAACGCCAGCAGTTCTGTGCCACAGAGGCTTGAGACACGGAGGCGCGGGACGCGGAGCGGCGCGGTGCGGTGGGAGGCGGCAGGACGGGGGAGGGGTTACCTGCATCCTGCCAGCCGAACTCTGGAAGCCTGCCTGAATACCCGTATTTTCCGGCATATAAGACGACTGGGCGTATAAGATGACCCCCGACTTTTGAGAAGATTTTCAGGGTTTAGAAAGTCGTCTTATACGCTGGAAAATACGGTATATTAAAACTGATATTACCTTACATTTCTGATCCCTCCCTACCCACTGCATGAAGTGATGGTGGAATAATCATAAAAATATTGTTGTCATGGAACTACTCAAGGTCAAAGAGAAGTGAAACTCGCTAAACTAATTGGACAGATTATAAGATGCAAGTTTCAAGTACAAATTATTTATAAACCTCATCTATATATTTTTCTGTTCACTTTTATTTTGAACTTTAGATATCTCTACATGCTGCCGAATAAACATTTTGAAGATCTTGTGTGATTATCTTATCTATCATGTAGCAGATTATAGTATTTCATAGTAGTACCTTTTTTTTATTACAGGCAAAGTCATCAACAAAGATTTACGTCACTACCTAAGCCTACAGTTTCAGAAAGGTTCAGTTGATCACAAACTGCAACAGGTTATCAGAGATAATCTTTACTTGAGAACTATTCCATGTAAGTAACATACTAACATATTCCTTTGGATTAAACAAACTTTGAAAGGATATCTTAAGTAATATGTACTTTAAATGCATGATACTGTATAGGCTAGCAAAACCTGAATTCTGGAGTTATAAATAACGACACTGGGAATTACATCTTTATTCCCATGTGTTTACTGGCAACTTAATATATTACAGATATGCATGTGTATACAAATTGGTGTGTAAAATAATGTGCCCTGGGCCAACAGCATATTAAGGCTCTTTAAGACAATAAGATTAGCTATAATGGATCCACAGCAACATCTACTACTAATTCAAAGAAGTTGCTTACCCACAACTGTGATTCTTTAAGTAGTAAAATTGGTTCTGTTATGTATCAAATTCACACATTGTGTTGTCAAGCTTTTGAATAAAAAATGCTATCGCTGCACATGCCAAAGGATATTTATTCCACATCCAGAGATAGAATAAAAGGGGAAAGATACCAGACTGCATGAGAATGAAGTGTTATGTGATGATCACTTGACTAATAAGTGAGCTGAGGAAAGAGATAAATACATAGCAAAGAAAAACAATAAATTGAAGATTTATTTGTATTAGAAACAGGAAAAATCAACTTTAATAAAACATTTTTTCCTGAAAGGAAAAAACGAGATTCCTGCCCCTTCCCCCTGTTTTCTATCTTTTTTTAATGGAGGGAAATTTATTCTTTTCTATCTCTCCAATATTCTAAACCTTCAGTTATTTCAAATGCATATTTTCCAGGCAACACATTTGATGCTACACATATTCAAATCAAAAATTACACTGGAAACTAAAACTTTTTGTTGGATCTCTTACGTACATTTGTATTGTAATGGCCTTCTCTTAACTTGACATCAGCACTTTTGCACTTTTCATAGTTTACATATAAGACACAACATAGACATATTAAACATCAGGGAAAGACACAGATGAAGCCTCCCCTCCTCCCATTAAGGTACTAAATAATACCAAGGATCTGGCAGGATTCAGAAGAATCTATCTGTCACTCAAAGAAACAGATGTGAGATGATCGATATTGGGCTACTTCCATTTCAAGAGTGGGAAATTAAAAACTTACACCAAGGCATCTTCTCCCCATCCATACTCATAATCAGCATGGATTCCCAGAATGCTCCCTGCCAACTAAAAGGCAATAAGGTATGCTTCCGTTTTTCATAGGAGAAGAATATTCTGGAATGACCATTTGTCATTTTTTGCCACCACAGTCCTCTGAGGTAGAGAGGGAGATGATCTTAACAATTATGATTTTCATTATGAAGTACCTGATGCTTGCCACAAAAGCCAAAGTCCAGCTTTTATGTTTCTGATCATCCCACTTCTAAAACCAATTCATAATGGAATATTTTAGGGGTACATTTGAACTCGAAGCCAGCATGCATTACACGGAAGCTCAAATTGGTTTATTGCCAGTTCTGGAGGAAATTAACGACAGCAGGTATGGTAACCAAACCAATTAACAGAAGGTATTAAAGTGGTGAATAACTTCTGCCATTTAGAATCATCATTAAAGGAATCAGCAGTGAAGAAATATGCTGCAGACTGGCACTTTGAGGAGTAGCAATGAAGGCTTGAAAAATGTAATTCTGATGTAATGTTTCTATATCTACAAAGATCAAAGATCAGAATTGTTCAGGCAGTTGTTTTTCCTATAGAAATGAAATTTAGAATTTGAAGAAGCAGATTAGAAAGTGCATAGAAGCTTTTGAAGTTTGGCATTGAAAATGTCTGAAGAAAGAGACAAACAGGAAGCAGACAGGCAGACAGACAGGAAAATGAACAAATCATATAACGAAACAATCCAAAGTTCTTACTCGGAACACAAATGACCAGATTGAGATTATCATATTATGTGAAGTTCTCGCTGTCTAGCAAAGCCTGTGAGGATGTTGAGAAAGTTGGAAAGAAAGGAAAACATGATGACAAGCAGCAAGGTGGATGGACTACATTGCAGTTGTGATGGGTGCACAACCAGAAGACCTAAGGGGTTAGTTTGGAAACAAATACTCCTGGAGAAATTCTATCTATAAGGTCACTAAGAATTGATACCAACTTGATGGCATATAATTAGTCTAATCAAAGAGGTACAGGTAGTCCTAGGGCCATTTGTTTAACAACCATTCTAAATTACAACAGCATTGAGAAAAGTGAGTTCTAACCAATCCTCACAATTACAGACACTAAGCATCCCCTTGATCACATGATTAACATTCATGGACTTGGCAACCAGCATTTATTCAAGATGGTTGCAGCATCTCAGGGTCACATGATTGCCATTTGTGACCTTCTCGGGGTTTCTGACAAGCAAAGTAAATAGGGGGAGCTGGATACACTTAATGACCATGTAATTTGCTTAGCAACCATGGCAAAAATTGAGTATGACTTTATTTATTTATTTATTTATTTATTTAAATTTATATACCGCCCTATCTCCCTTACGGGACTCAGGGCGGTGAACAGGCAATAATAAAAATCACAATAAATATTAAATAAAAAGCCTGCTCTAAAACACCCCATATAAAAACCCCTACCAAAACACAATCAGAACTACGCCAGGCCGGCCGCATGGAATAGATGGGTTTTCAAGGCTCGGTGAAAGAGGCGCAGGTCCGTAGTTGTACGTAGGTCTGACCACATTGCTTAGTAACCCCATTGCTTAATGACAGAAGTTCAGGTCTCAAATGAGATTGTAAATCGAGGATCACCTGTAATTCTTATATTGCCTCTGCAATAAAAAAGGGCCTCTTTTTCAACTGCAGTTTATTTTATAATATGGTATCCCTTTCTGGATAATAAAAGATTTTGCTGTTCAACTTGTGCAACTTGCAGAAAATGTTCCTTTGAGGACCAAAGGCTTTATATTTCACAATGAGAACTCCAAATGGACTCACAAAGCATATTGTAGTAATCCAATCTTGACGTTAGCAGTACATATATCACTGCATCAGAACTCTCTCCCTCATGATCTATCAGCTGAGGCTGATAAAAGACCCATTCACTATTGTTATGTACTTAACCAGTTTTAAATCAAGAAGAATGCACCAAATTGCAAGCCTGTTCGTTAAGTGTTAATGCAGTCCCATTCAGAACTGGATCAACTGAGTCCAGGCTCAAAAATTCTGTTTTTGATAAATTTAGATTCAGCTTGTTTTCTTATATCCAATCTTCTAGCATTTGGAGGCACATGGAGGCTCTAGAACAGGGGTGTCAAACTGCGGGCCCATGGGCTGGACGTGTCATCGGAAACCACGCCCACCCCATTGCCGGCAATGGCGAAAAAGCTCCGATACGTTGCGCGACGTCACACGTGTCTGCTCTAGAGACATCCAACCCTGAGTTTGCAGGAAATATGCTATAATCATGACTGTCAAGGATTAACTATATTAATCCTTGTGAGCCATCCAGAGTCATTGACAAGTGGGTAGTTCTAGAATTTTAACAAATACATAAATTACATATTTGATTTTAATTTGGTTTAACGTTCCTGTTTCATATTTTTTGCTCTAGTTTCATATAATTAAGTACTTGTGGTTGAATCTGTTTTTATTATTACATAGTAGAGCGGCAGAATCTAGGTCACTTTTGTGTAACAATTTGCAAACAGTTAGAAAATTTTACAAGAATTTATTCACATTCTGCCTTTTTATTCCAGGCACCACAAGAGCTCCCAGAGATGGGGAAGTCCCTGGAGTGGATTATAATTTTATACCTGTTGATCAATTCAAGGCATTGGAAGAAAGTGGAGCTTTGCTAGAAAGTGGAACATATGATGGTACATATAAAACTTATCATTTGATCAGCTATTTCTAGATTACCATTTTTATGAGATATAATTACAGGTAGTTCTTCTGTTACCAATCATTTGTTCAGCTGCTATTTGAAATTGCAACAGCATTGAACAAAAGTAGTATATATTACCAGTTGTCACACCACCCCTGCAGTCACATGATTGTGATTCAGATGCATGGCCACCATCTCACATGATTGTGATTCAGATGCATGGCCACTATTTACCATGGTTGTGCCTCATGGTCATATGATTGCAGTTTCCAATGTTCCCTGCTGCTTTCCACCAGCAAAGTCAATAAGGAGCTGGCAGAATATTGGAAGTTATGATCATGCGAGGTCCTTTCTTAATGACCTGCATGGTCCTCACTTGACTTCAGTAAGGATCATGGATAACTATTCATATATCAAAGCTGTTCAGAAAAATGGTTTACGATAAACCAGAATTTTAATCTATATTGCACTTGACTTAGTATTCTATCTGTTGTGTCTTATCATTATAGTGACCTACCAAACTATTAAGGATTAATTGAAACACTCAAGAATAATTTTAGCACTCAAAAAAGAAAGTGCTGCATCACTTGTTTATACCTAGGATGATTAAGAGATACGATATCAAATACCTGTGAGTGAATGTGTGTGTGTGTCTGATGCATAGCTTTAAAGATGACCATTGTTATTGCATAGAAAGCTGTTTTTATGCAAGGGGGGTAACGTTTTTTCAGGCAGAGACTGTATTTTAAATGTTTTGTTAGCAGTTGGTGGCAGCTGTTACAGATGCTGAGCTTGTCAGCTGGGGAGTTGACTTTTATTACTATATCTAGATACCATATTAACAGTTTATAAAGGCATTTGCTATGGAGTTATTTTACAAGGGCAAAATACAGTTACAGTATCAAAATATTAAAATAGCTGGAGCCTTGGCAGTTTCTTTTATGCTATATAGAATTTCTTTATTAAGATTGCAGTGATTAATTTAAAGAGTAAAAAAGCCAATTGTTTAAATTTTCAAAGGCACTTATTTTATTAAAAATATCCATCAAGTGCAGCAAGATATATTTTTAGCTTTCTGAGGTGCAATTCAGTATTGAACTGAACAAGCCTTCATACAAAAGAATAAAAATAATGCTCTAACCACACATTTTAATACTGCCTCAATGTGAATTGTTGTTTCCTGTTTCATTCATAAAAATGAGTTTGTTCTTGGTTGCAGCTGCCAAAAAATCTACAGTTTCTTCTGATTAATTATGATATACTATATAGATTGAAATAAAATTGGTTTTCTTTAGTTTTTATAAGTTTTATTTGGAACTAGTGAATATAAAATAAAATATTTTCTTTTTTAAACAGAATATTCAGGTAGGACAGCCATTTGGAGATATTCTTCAACAATATTAGAGATTTATTGTTGAATTTGAAAATTAAGTATTTCAGCATGTATGCTCTATTCCTGCAAAGGAGATAGATGAATTAATTGTATATGTTTTATAGAAAAATCTATAGTGTTAGATAGCCAATATATAGAAATGGATGTTTATATTTTATTTGGTTCTTTGTATTTGAATTACACGCATATCTAGGATGAGAAGCCAACATGGGTTTGTGAAAAACAGATCATGCCTAATAAACCTTAATTCATTATTTGACAAAATGACTAAATTAGTAGACCAGAGAAATACTGTGGACAAAGTATACTTTGATTTCAGTAAGGCATTTGACAAAGTGGACTACAGCATACTTCTTGGTAAGCTAGAAAAATGTGGGATAGATAGCATCACCACCACCATATAGATTTGTAACTAGCTGACAAACCACACTTAATGTGTAGTCCTTAATGGAACTACATATACATGGAGGGAAGTAAGCAGTGGGGTACCTTAAGATTCTGTTTTAGGCCCAGTACTCTTCAGTATCTTCATAAATGATTTAGATAAGGGAATAGAAGGGAAATTCATCAGATTTGCAGACGACATCAGGCTGGCAGAAATAGCCAAAATCACAGAAGATAGGCTCTAGATCCAGATGGATCTCAACAGACTTGGACACTGGGGCCCATTTAACAAAATAAAATTCAGTGTAGAGAAAAGTTAAGATTTTATGTAGGCAAGAAAAAACAAATGTACAGGTACAGATTAAGTGAAACTTGTTCAATAGCAATAACTGAGAAAGGGATCTTGGAGTCCTAGTAGACAATCACTTAAATATGAGCCAGCAGTGTGTTGCAGCCACCAAAAAACCCCCAGTGCAGTCCTAAGCTGCATTAATAGTGGGATAGAATCAAGATCACATGAAGTATTGGTACCGCTTTATAAGACTTTGGTAAGACCACATTTGGAGTACTGCATCCGGTTTTGGTCATCACAATATAAAAAAATATGTTCAGACTGTGGAAAGAGTGCAGAAAAGAGCAACAAAGATGATTAGGGAGCTAGAGGCTAAAATATATGAAGAATGGTTGCAGGAATTGGATATGTCTAGTCTAGTAAAAAGAAAGACAACAGGCAACATGATAGCAGTGTTCTAATATTTGAATACTACCACAAAGAAGAGGGGGTCAACTTATTTTCCGAAGTACCAGAAGGCAAGACAAGAAGCAATGGATGGAAACTAATTAAGAAGAGAAGCAACCTAGAAATAAGAATAAATTTCCTGACAGTGAGAACAATAAACCAGTGGAACAGAAGTTGTGGGTGCTTCATCATTGGAGGCTTTTAAAAAGAAACTGGATAGCCATTTGTCTAAAATGGTATAGGGTCCTGCTTGAGCAGGGGATTGGACTAGAAGACCTGCAAAGTTCCTTTCAAAGTTCATTCTTAGTCCTATTAAAATTGAGTCATGTGTTTGAGTGAGGGTAGAAGGTATTTTGAATGTTTGGCCTTTAAAGTATAACAACCTTGCTTATTTATAGGTAAATATTGCTGCAGTAGGCTATCAAAACTGAATATGTAACATATATCAGGGATCCCCAATCCCCGGTCCGTGGACCAGTACCGGGCCACGGCATGCCAGCAACCGGTCCACACAAACAAGCAGGCAGCACACAAAACCATACACTCTCCAGTCTGCAGAAAAACCTCTCTCCACAGAACCGGTCCCTGGTGCCCAAAAGGTTGGGGACCTCTGACATATATAACTTGCACATAATTATTTCAGCTTCTGCAAGAACACATTAGGATATGCTAACGAAATAACTAATTCTATGCATAGGTAAGCAGATTTTTAAAATACTAGGCATAGTATACATAGTCAGAATTGTCATTATTTCTTACTGTTATTAATGAGCAGTTTGTTAGCATAAATATAACTGCTTGGAATCTTGCATTTGTTCTTGCCTTCTCTTGCCTTTTGTTTTTGCTTCGGATTAATGTAACAAAAGTAGATACTGAAAGTTAGATAAACCAGAAGTTTATCTAGCTATTCTCACTGTCAAGAAAAATAAAAAAGGCATGATCCAGGACTTTGAACTATGATGATTGTAAATAATAATCCAGAATGCTATCATCTAAATTGTGTCACTTTGTGTTTCCTGTAGGAGAAAAATAGTGTAGGAGTAGCTGTCATGCAAGGAATGATTGGATAAGTGACTTTGAACAAGGTATCAAAGATAACTCTTAAAAAGATACCAGGATACTTGACATCCAGATAAAATAATTTAAAATCTGCCGACTGTTTTTCATTTTCAAATTATTGAATCTAAGTAGGGATATCAATACTGTAGGTGTTGAGAACCAAGGAGGCAACATTAAAACAAATATTCAGAAACTATTATGTAAGCAAAGAAGACAGAAATATTCCTTAAGCCTTGAGAAGGGAAATAGTACAAGTAGTCCTTGACTTATGACCATAATGGAGTCTGCCCATTACAGTAATAAGTCATGATGGTTATTAAGCAGAGTACCCACATTAACACCCTGCTTAATGACCACAATCCCTGCTTTTCCTGTTGCAGTTGTTAAACATACCTCAGGGATAGAGGGAGGCCCTTGGAGACCTAGCTCAGGCCCAGCCTTCATTACAGCACCTCCCCAGCTCACCTATGACCTGCCTAGGTCCTCCCCTCCCAAGGCAGCTTGTGTTGCACTTAATAACTCAAAGGAGATCTTGGATATCACCTTCGAGTAGGAGAGTCTGCTGATCCACCTACTGGCTTCCTTGCTGTACAGAGGCCATGTGCTGCCATTCCAGAAGTAGGCACCTATTTGGACTGGCTACAATTCTTTGCATCCATTCCCAAAATTGTGCCTCTTCTGGAACAACTCACATGGCCCCTGTGTAGGAAGATTGCACAGCAGATTGGCTGCTTTCCTGAAGGAAATCTATGGAAAAGATAAGTGAACTGAGCCATGAGTGGAAGTTGATGGGGAGAATGTGGGATCCAGCATGGTGGGATGCAGGGCCAAGACATGCAGTGACCTAATGGGGTGGGATGGGGGGAACATAAGTGGGGTGGCTTCCTGCAGAAGCCCTACAATTGGTCATAAGGATGGGCAGCAGTGCCCAGATTTTGTTCATGTGACTGCAGGGTGCCAGAACTTCAGGCAGGGTGGTAAGTCCCTTCATTCAGTGCTGTTGTAATTTCAAACAATTGCTGAACGAATCATCATAAGTTGAGGACTACCTGTAAAGAAGATACTTTTTCCTGACTCACTGGAAAGTGGGAGGTGAGGAAAAGTTATCATCTGTTAGTATCTGTTATTAAAGCGATGTCAATAAAATATAATTCTAGTCTTACTGTGGAATCTGTTTCTTGATCTAGTGTACTTTGGACTGACAAAAAGAAACTGCAACAATGTCAAAGTAATGGGACTTGTATTACCTTGTTACTATGCATACTCCACAAATATGTATTTATGGCATATCTATCATTGTTTGCATTTTCTTGCCTTCATGCAGATGACCATGAACCTAAATTCTTTGTTAGAAAGAATTTATTCTATTTTTGTTACATATGTGAGATGGGTGGCTATATAAATATGAGGAATAAAAAGCATTGTTTTATAAATTTATATGGCTGCTTATCTTAAATGCATTACTTTGGAATGTTAATAATTAAAAACAAAACAATTTCGTTTTCAGACTATTAATGTCTAAACATAATAACTTATGAAGCCCTGATTACATGCAGATAAATTACAGTAGTAATATGTAAATCAGCTGATCCGTAGGATAATACATTCAGGGAAGTTAAGTAAAGTTAATGAGAATGGATTATTGCAAAAATCCTGACAACCATCTTTCCTTCCTTCCTTCCTTCCTTCCTTCCTTCCTTCCTTCCTTCCTTCCTTCCTTCCTCCCTCCCTCCCTCCCTCCCTCCCTCCCTCCCTTCCTCCCTCCCNTCTTTCTTTCTTTCTTTCTTTCTTTCTTTCTTAATATTTTCTTTTACATGCATACGTTTAAGGTAATTTCTATGGGACTCCTAAACCTCCAGCTGAGCCTAGTCCATTCCAACCTGATCCAGTGGACCAGGTGCTTTTTGATAACGATTTTGACCTGGAATCTCAAAGAAAAAGAACAACATCTGTCAGCAAAATGCAGAAAATGGACACTTCCCTTCCTGAAGAAGAAGAGGAAGAAGAAAAAGTAGCAATTAATGGTAATGGAGGAACAGGTCAGTATACATATTTACTTATTTTATAAATACATATTAAATTACAGCTTGTAAAAAATAGGTTATAAATGTAATAAGTAACTTGTAAACACAATTCTTATTTTGTTCATAAGAGATTTTCCCTTCTAAATATTTTGAGACTTAATATATTGAGTTTATTAAATGTGAACAGGTGCAGATATACACACACAAATTCAGATATTTTAATACATATTGTTTTCAGTTTCCTCAGATTAGTGTATTTGAAATTTGTCCAAGGGTAGGAATCTTTTCAGGGCCAAAGAAATACTTGGAATTTTGAAAGGGCAGTCTTATGAAATGACTACTACAGATAGTCCTCAGCTTATGACAGTCACTTAGCAACTGTTCAATGTTATGACAGACCCTCCCTACTTAAGATCTGGTTTCAAAATTACAGTCACTGCAGTGCCCCCACAGTTATATGTTCGTACAACCGACCAGAGAGATGTTGCAGCACCCATTCTATTTCCCCACTCATCCCACCCTGCCCTACCAGGTCCCTGCAGTGTTGGCTTGCTATCAACCTACCCACCCAGTCACCCAAGAGAGGCTAAAAACTCCAATTTTTGTGGAGTTTGTTGAGCCTTCTTAATCAACAGAACCCCCACAGGATTGCAATAATAGCACTTGCTTGCAGTAAAGCATGCGAACCTTACATCACATCAGCCCTCTCTGCAAAAAAAAAAACACTCCAAAAAGATAAGTTAGATGCTGCTGGGCCCTGGAGCTAGCTGGGTAGCTGAGGGTGGCTGAGTGACTGAGTAGGAAGCAGTCAGGCTTGTAAGCTGCAACAGCTCTGCACTCACTGGTAGCTTCTTTGACTGGCTTTCGGCTGTCCTGTTTGACAGAGCTGGGGTCTACCGTACAAGTTGCAACAACCCTGAGCATACCAATAGCTTCTACAGCTAACCCTGGGCTCCCCTGGCTGGCCAAATGGCTGGGTAGGAAGCAAACAAAGGCCTGTGGGGGGGGGGGGAGGAAGCAGGCCCAAGGTCTACAGAGACCCTGAGGGGCAAGAAGCAAAGCATGGGACACCTTGGGTCCAGGAAGCCAGGGCAGGTGAGCTTGGGTTTCCATTAGGCCTCCCAAGTCTCCCTACCCCATGGTCCGCTTAACAACCTGGAAACTCACTTATGTCCTTATCAGGAAGAGCAGAGGTGGTAGTGGCCCTTAAACCAGGTGATCATGTGTGCACCTCACTTAACAATCCTTGTGACTTGCAACTGTGATCGTCTGACTCCATTATGTTTGTGACTCAAGGACTACCTGGATACAGTATTTGCTTATGGTTGCTATAATGTGTATTTCTAATTAAAAAAAGAAAACATGTTCATTTCTCATATGATGACAACTGTTTTCAAAGTTCTCTCTAACATTTCAGTGGAATCTTTCTAGGAACCAAAGATATTTTTATAAATCAATTGGTTGCTAGAAACTGAAAAATTGCTTTGCAGAATGTCCTTCCTGGTTTGTTTTTTAATTAAATAGAAAAGGTAGACCCAGGGGATCTGGTTGGTACAAAGAAAATATCTAGGTGCAAATTATGCTGATTAACTCTGTTCTTAGGGAATTAGTGATATATTCAGTTTAGCTTTGTGTAAAGCAGAATAAAGCTAAAATAGATATTATATACATGTTTTTGTGTACTTTTATTCTTTTTTAAAATTGTAAGCCTCCTAGAGTCACCTCATTTTGAGATGGGTGGCAAACAAATTAAATAAAACAAATTATTTTCTTTAAACAATTGCAGAAATCAAAGAGCGACATTTGGAGTCTTCTGATTGGATGAAACCTGTTCCTAGTTACAGTCAGACAAATAGTTCTGTGGATTTCAAAAATTATTTATCGAGGGAAGAAAACTTAGAACCTCTGCCCAAGAACTGGGAGATGGCCTACACAGATACTGGAATGATCTATTTCATTGAGTGAGTAGAAGCTAATATTATATGCATTTAGAATTATCAAATCAACCTGATTGTTAGTACACTTATAGATGTTTCAGCTTATTAATTTCTGCTAACATGTTAATAATATAATAAGTATCTATCCATATTCCATTGCAAAGATTTATTTGGGGAAAATATTTCTCTATCAAGGAAAATATTTTCTTCCAAAGAGGCTGCATTTCCCAAATTCAAAGATCTTTGTAGACTGCTCAGATCAGTGCAATGCAATTGTATAGAATACATTTTTTTGTAAAAGGCAAATCTGTAGAAGTCTCTATATAAACATATTTCAAGTGAATCATTGTAAAATATTGTAAAAGTTTTCATATAATTGTTTATATTTCTAGATACATAGTTTTAATACAGGACTATTAATAATGTGACAGTTCTAAGAACTAAATATATTATTTAAATAATGAATCTACTATTTATTTTAGAATTATGCTATGAACTGGATAATCCTACACCCTAAAAAAGTATGAGATAATCTTTATCTTTATTTTGGATAATTTCTACTTTTATGTATGTCCTTAAAAGCAAGCTGAATAGAACATGATTTTAGGCTTATTATAAATAGTTAGAAGAGACATGTGTGTTTTCGTTTCATTACTTTGTTTCTTCTCTAGTAAAATACACATACACCTACGCAAAACATGAATGTATCATTCACTGAATGTTGAGGCATTAGTTATCAGTATTTTCTGACAACTTTAACCTGAGTTAACCCTATTCAAAACAAATCTGCTGTTTTGTAGAAAACTAAGTCAACTGTGACTATGAACACATTCGTCTAAAACAGATCTCTCTCTGTGTCTCTCTGTCTCTCTCTCTCTGTCTCTGTCTCTCTCTCTGTCTCTTTCAACACACAAAGGGTGCCAGTGTCTGAACATGTTTCTGTAATAAAGGGAACTTTTTATTAGTATTTTCTAACTAATTTCTCTGTCTCCACAGCCACAATACGAAAACTACCACCTGGCTGGATCCTCGTCTGTGTAAAAAGGCCAAAGCCCCTGAAGACTGTGAAGATGGAGGTAAGAAGCTCGGGATCCAATTATTTAAACCTTGTTATGTAGGGTTTTTAGTTCATGTTTATTGAATTGTTGCGAAAAAGCTTTCCTGGTGTAATAAATTACTAACTGTACTAATAAATTGCATATTGCTTCTGCATTATAGTCTCTGATTCACATTTATCACATCCTGGTAACCCTGTTGTTGTTTCAAGTACCCTGATCAATTCTTTCCATAGCAAGGATCCTCATACCTCCTATATTTCAAGGTCAGCCTGCAGCTGGAGCACCTGAATAGGCCTCCCAGTGCTCTACTCCAGAAATGGTGGTTCCCTATTATTCCAGTTTAAGACCTTCCATCTGCGCAATCTGCAGTACATAACACCAAACATTTCAGCTTGTTTTTTTTTATCTCCATAGCATCAGTATTCACATTTGATCATTATTTTGTTTTATTGAATTCTTTTGTTCCTTACAATAAGAATAACTTGCCCTCCCACTTCAGGCATCTGTCCATTCCAGAATGTAGGGACTGCAACTAAATATTGTAATACTGGGTAATGCTGTGAATTGTACTTGGATAATTACTGGCAATCCGTGAGGTAACCCAAAAAGAAATGCTATGTGGTTGTGGCCAAAAGAGTCATTAACCCGTGGGCTGCTGCATTTTGAACCAATAGCAATTTCCAGATTTGAAAGACAACTGTAACTAGAGTGAACTGTAGTAACCCAGCTGGGTAGAAATAAGAGCATGCCAGTCCTTCTTGCTTCCCAGAACTGCAATTTCAGTCAGTCTCATTCTCTTTTATCTGCCCTGCCCCCCAAAAAAGTTCAGGCTGGCAGTATACAACAGAGTAGCATTAGCAAATTTATGTTGTCTCACCTCAAACTGATGGATGAAATCACTCACAGTGATTTCATATAGATTTTTAAATAGCAAGGGAGAGAGTCTTAAGCCCTAAGAAACTCCACAACACAGTGCTCACATTTTTCCCACTGGCTTTTTATTGATTGATTATGGGCCATCAGGTTGGAGTTGATATGGAGTCACCACAGATAGATTTTTTTGTAGGTGTATCTGTCCCCAATTGCTCCTTCTGATCTTCCAACAGTGCACATATCACTACTGCAATTAAGTTCTTCTACCTTACTGCTGGTCATCCTCTTCTCTTTCTTTCCATCTTTTCCAGCATCAGAGTCTTCAGAGGCTTCACATATTGTATCCAAAGTAGAATAATTTGAGCCTGGTCATTTATGCCTCAAGTGAAAACTCTGTTGATTTGTTTGTTTGTTTTTCCTCACTATTGGGTATTTTCAAGAGTCTAATCCAACACCAACATTCAAAAATATTAATATTCTTTCTATGCTACTATGCTTTCAGTGCTTCTTTGCTTTCTATGCTACTTCTTCAAAGTACAACATTGCATAGAATGACATAGGGAAAACAATATCTTCATGATTTTGATTTTCGTAAATATAGCCATATCACAGCATCTGAATATATTTTCCAAGAATTTTATGACTTTACCAAATGCTTGTCTGTGGCCGATGTCTTAATTGCAGGTTCCTTTACTGTTGACTGTTAATCTTAAAATATACGATATGGGAATCGTGCTGTAATTTTTTTTAGACATCTTAGAATCAAATTCTACAGCTTCAAAATAATAATATATTTTACCTAATGGGTAAAATAAAAATCCATTAAAAGCTGAGCCAAAGCTTTTTTTCCTTTATATGATTGTAAAGATAAATGATCTATTTCATCTAATGAGAAATACATACTTTTAAGTGAATGTTGTAAACATAAATTTTTTTAAAAAAATTAGAAAGATTTTTTTAAAAAATAACAGGTTATAACAGTTGAAACAAGACTCACACATTTCATTTGAAACTATTCAAGAAAAAGTATACATTTTAAAATATTTAAATAATACACACTAAAGAACCTTAAAGACTTTAAAATAATAACAAAAACTAAAAACTAAAAAATGCAGTAGTTCATTTAAATTTCTTATGTATTTGCTGCAGATTAAACTGTGATGATAAGTGTTTGGTTACGAGTTAGTACATGTGAACTTTGATTAATTACAATATGATATTTTTTTAAAAGTACTATTATATCATTTTCTGAATCCGGAGTGATTCTTTTACTCATAGAAGTGTTCTATGCAGTGAACATTTATTGTTATAAATGATTATGCAAAATGTATTATTTTTGGCTTTGAAATAAATGAATTATGCAGTGCTTTTTTCAATATGTATTGAGGCAGATAACAAACAACTTAGATTCAAGATGAACTTTATTTCCATACCATTTTTAAACTTTATATCTGACTGCTTGAAATGCAGTTGGGTTTTGGATGTTGGTTTTGGATTGGTTTATTTGTTTGTTTTTTTTAAATAATGTGCAGTTGAATGAGGTGTAAATTAAGATCTTTATTTAAATGGATAAATGCATATTTTAATTGAGAGTTCTTGTATGGGGTCTAATACAATACAATTCTTCGAAACATAAATAACATTAAGTATGTCTACAGAATTTTTCTGCTTTCATCAAAATGACAAAAGCAGACTCCACTATTTCTACATTTGCAGTCCTTACATCATGACAGTGCTGCTTTCGTCATCCTTGCTTCTCCTTTATGCTGCCAGACCAAAGTCAAGTCACTTAAATAAAATAACATCTAATTATTTTTATTTTTAATATGATTCTGAAGCTATAACTTTATGAAAGTATTATCATCTTTAATACTGGTTTGGAAAAACTCAACAAATCAGACTATAATTGTGTAAATGTATAATGGCATTATTTTTTCTAAGAATTTTTTATGGATGTATCCCAGGTTATTACCAGGAGTTAAGTTTGACTTGAGGAACTAATGAGATATAATAAACATGGTAAAATGTGTAAAATGTTTTCAATATGCTTGACTGATCCATGGAAGGAATTCTCTTGTGCAAAGAAATAAACAGTGCTAACACTATAGATTTAGGCAGTATCAGTTTCACCATGTCATACAAATTCCACCTCAGGATTGTCTATTCTGACATTCTTGATCAAGGTGAAATTCTAAAGTGGCCTGTGAAAATGGAATTTCTTCAACAACATGGTTCTATGTCTCTGCTGATTTTCCAACTATGGCCACAGAGGAGAAAGATGACAAAGACAATGAAACAATATCTCAGGGATTGCCGTGAAGAAGAGGGAGTCAAGCTATTCTGAAGGCAGGACAAGAAGCAATGGATGGAAACTAATCAAAGAGAGAAGCATCCTAGAACTAAGGAGAAATTTCCTGACAGTTAGAACAATTAATCAGTGGAACAATCTGCCTCCAGAAGTTGTGAATGCTCCAACACTGGAAGTTTTTAAGAAGAGATTGGACAGCCATTTGTCTGAAATGGTATAGGGTTTCCTGCCTGAGCAAGGGGTTGGACTAGAAGACCTCCAGGGTCCCTTCCAACTCGATGATGATGATGATGTTGTTGTTGTGAGGGGGTTGAATTGTCCCTAAGACAGGCTGGATTGGCACCCACCATAATCACACCATTTTTAAAAAAAATCATTGTAGCAATGGGGAAAAGATAGACAGAGGAAGTGAAACATAAGTGATAAACTTTTAGTGTCCCTGGTGTTGATTGGTAAGACTATAATGGTCTGGCACAAGAAAAGGTCAGGGCATGAAGTCAGTCAAATGATGAAAAATGTTATAGCTAAATTGTTTTGTGTGAATAAAGCTATTGTGTGGATAAGGGAAGGATAAAAGCAATGTGATATTACTGAGTAAAGGCCCAATTTGAACTCTTTAAAACTGTTTTAATTTTGTGTCATTTCTGCTTAGAGAAGTGACTGTACAGATAATTCTTGACTTACAATTGTAATGGATTCTGCCATTACAATCTTAAATCGTGATAGTCATAAAGTGTATCACCGTGTGACTGGACCTGTTTTTAGTATCTTTTTGTGGCAGTTAAATAAACATCATGGTCATAAAGCGAATGCTGTAGTCGTAAAGCGAATGCTGCGGTTGTTAAGTGAACCCATTGTTTGCTATTGGGTGTTTTTGCTAAAAAGTGGAAACAAACATTGTAAATTGCAGTCACATGATCACAGGCAACTACAAATGTGCCTGAAATGCCATCACAAATACTGTCACATAACACTGGTCTGTGACAATAATGAAAGAATTGAAAAGCTTGAAAAGACACTGCCAAGTAGACCAAAGACAGCTAAATTGATATGTAAGCTGACTTGTTTCTGAACCAGGGTTTAATTCAGTGAATATTGTTTACTTAATTGGTTTCCATGTCACCCACATTGAATAATGTTTTGAAATTTTACAATATTTTTGTAAAAAAAATTTACAATATTTTTTAAAATTTAAAGTACATTGTCCTGCATCCCCATGATATAAGTGGGATAAAAAAAATAAGAAATAAGCTCATCAGTTTTTCTCTTCTAATTACAGAGCTTCCTTATGGCTGGGAGAAAATAGAAGATCCTCAGTATGGAACATACTATGTTGAGTAAGTTTTTTTGCCGAGTTGCTGAAAGTCCGGATTAATTGAATAATCAAAACCCTTCCTTCCTTCCTTCCTTCCTTCCTTCCTTCCTTCCTTCCTTCCTTCCTTCCTTCCTTCCTTCCTTCCTTCCTTCCTTCCTTCCTTCCTTCCACTTCTTAACTGCTATCACCCTCATAGAGGGACTCTGATATATATATTTGTTCAGTACACAGTATAGCAGTAGTTTTATTATAAAGCATGACTAGTTAATTAATATTTTCTTCCTTTTCTGGAAATTTAATGAGTAGATCTATTTATCCTTTAGGAGAATAAATAACAGTTGATTAGCTATCTGCTCTCAATGGACTACATGAATTTTAAAACGGAAATAAAAAAAAACCTTTTGAGTAACAGCACTTATTAACACTGGCTGTTAGTCATCCCAATTTATCCTAGTGCAAAGACTATACACAATAGTTTAAAAGAAAGCATAAGAAAACAAGGACTGATGGAACAAGGACTAATTTAACTTGTATACTGCCCATCTCACCAGAGATGATTCTAGGCGGCTTACAGACATTCAGTTGAAATGCCCTATAAAATGTTAATAAATAAGAATCATAGACATGAAATTCAATTAAAATAAAACTAACCAGGATGGAGAGGGAGGGAGCAAAGTGTGCACGGGAAAGAGGTGGGGTGTTATCTATTCCATTAGCCACCTCAAAGTGTCACACACCAATTGGGGCCCCAGACTAGTTGGCATAGCCATGTTTTCAAGGACTTTTGGAAGGTCAGAAGGGTGGGTGCAGATCCCACTTTGGGACAGGGGCATGATGTTCCAGAGGGCAGGAGGCACAGCAGAAAAGTCTTCTCTTCTAGACCACACCAGCCAAAATGATCCAAAAGGATAAATTATCCAAGGATGAAATGCATAAATGAAGTAATTGGAATAAATAATGGTTATTCTATCTTGTGATCTCAAAAAAATTGTTTTCTATCACCAGGCTATTGTTTTATAAACCTTCCAAAATTCCACCCATTTCACATTTTTTATGAAGCATTCTCTAAATTTGCCTATCATCTAATTCTGTCTTAGGGTAGGTATATTACTGAGGTATCTAAATATGAGCATTGCTTGAATTTGTAGAATGAATAAAGAATAAAGACAGATGGCGAGGTGGCCTAGTGGTGAAGATGCTCGCCTCCCACTCGGAAGGTTGAGACTTCAGTCCTAGGAAGTGGCAGATGTTTCTCTCCTAGGGAGCAAAGAAAAAAATATTTGCTGTGAACTCCGTGTGGCACCAGGAACGGCATCCGGCCAGTAAACGCTCAGCTCCATCTAGTCAACCCGATTTTACCCCGAATTAAGGGATTACAGAATCAGAAAAAGGGAGTGAAAGAATAAAGATATTATAAATTAATGTGGGGAGAAAAGAGACAAATAAAGGTAGTTTTCGACTTATGACCATTTGTTTAACAACTGTTCAAAGTTAGTATGCTGCTGAAAAAAGTGACTTACAACCAATCCCCACACTTATGATCGTCACAGCATCCTCTGTCATGTTTTGTCTCCCAGTCAATTCGGATGTTTGGCAACTGGCATCTATTTTTTTTTTTTTTTT